GTTTCCACGTTTCGTAGTTTTCTATTACATCAAATTCACTTTACCCTAATTAAATCAAAACGTGTTGTTTTGTATTCCTCGTTAGAATTTTGTGTTGCTTCTTTTACTTCATTTTTCATCCCCTATCCCCTCACCCAACCCTTACCAGTTTCCACGTTTCGTAGTTTTCTATTACATCAAATTTACTGTACCCTAATTAAATCAAAACGTGTTGTTTTTTGTATTCCTAGTTATAATTTTTTTTTTATTTGTTTCCTTTACTTCATTTTTCATCCCCTATCCCATCACCCAACCCCTACCAGTTTCCACGTTTCATAATTTTCTAGATCATGATTCGTAGATCGTGGAAAAAGATATCACAGTTTAGTTCATTCTTCTTCAACTAATTTGCGTTAAGGAAATATTACGATATGTATCTGACCGTGTATATATGTCTGTATGTGTTTGTATGTGTAGGTTTTATTGTTAGTGTATGATTCGTTTGTATCTTTCTTCCTAATATACACGTGCAATACTAGTAATAGTAATAGTAATAGCAATAGCAATAGTAATAGTAGTAGTACGACCTTGTTCAAGTCTAACACATTATGTTTCCTTGTCAATGTGTTGCGTAGGAGAATTATACCGATTTTATAACAATACAAATCGAACAATCTCATTGTTCATATTTTTCTTTTTATTTTTCTTTTTATCTTGTTGTTGTTTGTTCTTTTTTTCAATTGTAATTTTGTAAAAGGAATATTAGATGATGTTACGTTGATGTAATTGTATTATGTAACGAAACTTGAACAAAAATTTATCATAGATCTAAAGATGAGTTACATTACAGTTTGTAACAACGTAATAATAATCATCATCGATATATCAGTTGATTCGTTTATTCGATAGTAATTTTGATAATTAATCTTCTTCATATCTTTTGTGACGTACTTAACAAAGTGGGAGGAGGAGGAGGAGGAGGAGGAGAAAGGGAATGACTGGTGACATCAGATTTGTAAGATTCTAATGTCAAAATCATATTATTTTGATTTAACCACAAAAGTTCTGTCCATTTTTACAATAATAATAATAATAATAATAATAATAATAATAATAATAATAATAATAATAATAATAATAATTAAAAAAAAGAAATTAATTAAATTAAATTAATAATAGTAATGTAAAGAAATTAAAATAATAGTAATAACATTAATAATAATAATAATAATAATAATAATAAAAGAAATTAATTTGTTCAAACATATCTCAAATAATATAATTATTTATTTATTTAATTTTTTAACAACGTGGATGGTAATTCGTATAATTTCATTAAAAAAAAAAAAAAAAACAAATTGAACCAATGTTTGTTTAAATGGAGACAGAACTTTTTGAAAATTTGAAATATTTATATAAATATTTGATAAATAATATTTTTCTCACATTAAAAAAAAAAAAATAAAATAAAATTGAATATTTTTCATTAGAATTTTCGTAATTCTTTTTTTTTTTTTTTTCAAGTTAGAAAAGGTTCGCCATTTCAAAAAGTCCGCCATACAAAATAAAGTGTCTTTTTGCATCAGCAATGAATGCAAATGCACAAATGTTGTTAAATACAATTTGATAAGAATGGTTCATTAATTGTAATACGATTGTTATCAAGAAATTGTCTCTTTTCCTCGTGACGACGAGAAATGAACATTTCTTAGGCTGCGTACGAAAAATGAATGTTTTAGTAGTAGTAGTAGTAGTAGTAGTAGAAGTAGTATGATATTCAACATGATTTACAGTTGGTTCCAAGGAGGAGCCAAACCGAAGAGAGATAGCGTCCCTCCACGTTTTAATTACGTAATTAACGTTTTATTTGTATCCTGGAATACATTATATATATGTATATATACGTGTTACATATACTTGTATTGTGTGTGTGTGACATACGAAAGAAAAAGAACGATATATAAAGAAAGATAGAAATAATCTTATCAATCTTTTGAAAAAGAAGAAGAATGGCTATATATTCGTGGGTACGAGTAAGACGAGGCCCTCAGTAGGAAGATGATAGAGGGCCAGGTACATCAACTTCCGGTTAGGCTACCGCCTGACAAAAATCAGCCGGCAACTCAAACACCTGAACATAATATCAACAACTTCGAAAAGTATGTCCGAATGTGTGTCTGTGTATGTGTTTGTTTGTTTGTTTGTTTGTTTGAGTTCAATGAAAATTGTGATTACAAGATATTCATATTTTGTGAATTTAATAATAACAATAATAATAAATCAAACAGTATACTAATCAAATAAAAAGATATTTGTTTAAAGTGTTTAATTGCAAATCTATACAAAAGTTACATAATAATAATAATAATAATAATAATAATAAAAAAACGAGTGACGAGTTTAACGAGCAACAGGTTGCAATATCGAATACAGTATTTTGTTGTTAATTTATTTATTAATTTTCTTTTTATATATATAATATATTAAAATACGACCTAGTTTTGTTGTTGTTGTCGTAGTTTAAATTAATTATTGGAGAAAAATATTTGTTGGTTGACAGTGAGCTATGTACGAGCCCTTTGCTTCAAGGAAGGCCTAATTCCCACAGGATGTCACCAACCGATGGCCGATCACGATCAACTTCCGAATCAAATGCCAGCGTTGGTACCAATACCAACACAACCATTCCTGTTAACAATAACAACAATAATAATAACAATAATAACACTACCAATAACGTTGCTAGCGGTGTTAACGGGAATGGTAATAATAATAGCAGTAGCAGCAATAGCAGCAGCAACAACGGTGGCCCTAACATGACCAACAACTTGGTCACGGTCAATTCAAACGGGCACGATGATGAGTGTGTGGAAGTGACGATATTCGATGAGAATTATGATAACAACCGTCTTCCTGATGTAGTTGCTGAAAGTAAAATCTATGGTGTTACGGACGACGATGAAGAACCTACGGAATCTTATTGTGCAATAACCATACAAGTTTTCATACCCTTTTTGATAGCTGGCCTTGGCATGGTTGGTGCTGGATTAGTCCTCGATCTAGTACAAGTATGATCATTCATTTGTCATATTTTTTTTCAACTAATAAATTACTTGGGTTTTTTTTCTTGTTTTTTTTTTTTTATACAAAA